GGAGGGGAGGGATGGTTGTTCCCAATGTGCTCCGCTCCTCAGGCCTCACCAGCTGCAAGGGAGCCAGTCCTTAGTTTCCTGGAGAGGCTGCTTAGGGTCGGGATAGAGGGTCAGGGGCCCTGGCGGCACCCCCCCAAGCGCGACTCGCATGACCAGGCCACCGCCGTGTGCCCACAGGCCATGCACTTGATACGCGCAGCAGCTGCCAGAGTTGCAGAAGAGCAGGTCTGAGATCAGATACCGCTAAGAGCTATGATTGGTTTCGTGATGTGCCTCAGTACGGTATGATGTTCAATTACGACGATCGAGGTGCCGGCGCACGTTGCTAACACAGCGAGTCATGCAGATAGTAGTATAAGAGGAACAGAATCACACTGCACGCCTATGCCTTGTAGTTGGACCCAGCTGCTGTGGCTTGGCTCGTGCGTAAAGCGTCGAGAGGCTTGGGCCGTTGTCGTGTGCGTTTGCTTAGAACTTTAATAAGGATACATTAAATATCAAGAAGAATAAGCCAGTAGACGGCACTCTCAGAGCGGCAACGCTGAGGATGCGCGTGTGCATCACTGGGTGTGATCGCTCGGCTATGTGCAGTGCTGTTGACGCATGATGCGCGCCGCAACTCGGGTGGCAGCAAGACGAGGAGATTCGTTCAGGTACTTGAAACTCTAATGTAGATAACTGTATGATGCGGGGGTGAGGCTGCATGGGCGGACGGAAGGCTGTTATGGGCAACCAAGCAGGGGCCAGCGACCGTCTGCCAAGCTGTGCTCTGTGCCACAGCAATATTGTCTCTTCTAGTACCTCGAGATGCCAACTTCAACGAAACATGAGTCATGGACACAGCGATGACTAGTCTGTGCCCCAGCCACCGCCGCTTGAATGACCTCGCGGCCACAAGGGGAGGGCTGCAGCAGCCACAGTCAAATGCAGGAGCCAAACACAGGCGCCTGCCAGGTGGAATGAGTGATTTCAAGTGGCGCTGTTTGATCAGCCTGGCATGCGTGTAGTAGTGTCGCAGCGCCTACAACCCACCTGTGTGGGATCAGTCACTGCAGCCGTGCGCTGAGCAGCGATGGCACCTGCCAAACCAGAAACTTTGGAAGAACAAACCTACCAACAGGAATCTGCTGACACAATTGCATGAATGCAAGCACAGCACACAGCAAGCGCTGGGTCGAGGCGGGAGAGTAGCACGCAGTGTATGTGACGTCATCACACCAGGAGTTCTGGAATGTGTCTGATTTGTTGACGCCCTCACGCACCATAAAACAATCCCTTTTCCAAGCACATCGTGTTTGTGTTACAGTACGTCTGGGATCTCGCCCTCACCCTCACTCGATCAAAAGTGAGGCCTGCCTTTGATAGAACGAGCTTACTCGCGAGCAATCATGCGCATCTTGCAGGCAGTCGTCTCTGGAAACCCAGCCGCTCGTAGACACGCTGCCGCGTTGGTCACGGGCGCCCAACAACCCCCGCGATTTTTCGCGCCACGCATGCGACGGGGATGCGCCACCTCGTCCCACAACAACAGCGGCGCCATGAGTACTACTGGCCTGATTCCTGATGGCGCCAAGGCACTGCTTTTCGATATTGACGGTGCGGCGACTTGATGTCACTTGCGCAAGTTGACCGGGAGGCGCCGGGCGCCAGCCATGGGGCCGGTTGCCAGCGTCGCTCATGCGCCGCGCATAGAAAAGTGTCATTGGGTTCACATAGGGGGCTTGTCACAGCGAGTGGGTGTAGAACCGGGCTTTATCAATGCCCCATGGCACTGTTTGCCATTGAACGGGTGCGCATGGGCTGACGGGTTGCTCAAAGGTCTCCAGGACAGCGGCCCAGCTCTCCCAGGATGACGGCGTGCTTGCCTGAGATTCACACCGCAGCCGCGGCTGCAGGAGCAGCAGTAATGAAGATTACTCATATAGAACCAGTCCCTTGGCAAGCTGGAAGCTCTGCGTGCCCACAACCCTCCCCGCTCCCAATCGAGCTTCCCCTCTCATCCTGCCCACCATCTTGCGGGTCGGCCTGCGGCACAGCGTCCGACCGACAGCTGCGCCCCTCCTCCACGCCGCCGCCGCGCGCCCCCACCGCCGCCGCCGCGCCCGCAGGCACCATACTGGACTCTAACGACCAGCGCTCCCACAGCTGGCGCCAGGCGGCCGGCAAGCATGGCCTCGACCTCTCAAAGACCGACTATCTCGCGTGAGGGCCGGAAACGGGGGAGTTAGGGCTGTTTGCCTGTCGCACTTCACGCACCACGCATGCAACATGCGTGCACGTGCACCCGCGTGTGTATTGGGCGACAGGTGCGGGCCCAACCAGCTCGCAGGTATGCAGCAGCGCATGCTGTGTCGATGCCGCCCGTTGGCACACATGCCGATTGCATGCTCCAGCGTTTTTGTTTTACCTTTCAGCCACCGGCGAAAGTCTTATACACCTACTTACGTGATCACAGCGTCACTTTCAACCCCTTCCCCCCTTCTGGCCCGTCTTGCAACGTCCACCCCCACGCAGCTACACTGGCATGAAAGGTGGGATCACGCGCATCGATGCGGACGAGCCGTTTTATGTTCAGAGGGTTTGCCGCCCTTGATGCTTCCAGCATCCAGGGCAAGGGCAAGGCTCCCTCTCGCGTCTGCCCAATGAAGCTTGATCCATGCGGGCGCCATGGCATATGCCCGCGAGTGCCGCGAGCGCCTGCCAGCTTACTACCTGCGCCTGCAAGGATGCGAACACAGACGGCAGCGCACACTAGCATGCCCTCATCGCGGCCCTAGCGACCGCAAGACAGGTCCCAGGCGGTCTGCATGTCCGAAGGACGCACCACGCACCGTGTGCTGCGCGCACCACACCGCCAGCTCTGGCTCGAGGCAGTCAGGAGCAGCGGAACCTGGCCCTCATTCTAAAAGATTTTGGACGGGTGCCAGCTGCCTCACTTCACCTTTACCCCATCCACCCTGAAGGACGGCCCCTTCAGACCTCCCCCTCCGGACACCTGCCTTACCCCCCAGCACACGCCCGCTCGTGCGTGTATGCACATGCACATGCTCATGCACATCCACATGCGCTCATGCTGCTGCCCGCCCCGCTGCCTGGCGGCCGCCAGGCAGCGACATTGTGGACAAACTCTGCTCCGACCAGGTGCGTGAAAGGAGGGTGGGGTGGTGTGGGGAGGCAATGTCTGCGGACGCTCGCCGTCCCAGCGGGCTGCTTGCAGGCCTCCTACCCCACACGATCAGCTGGGGGGCTATAGGTAGCCCTGCCACGCCTGCATCCGACAAACCTTCCACCGCGATGCCGCGTTCGAAAAAATGTGCAGCCGCGCGCTTGCAGCCGGCCGGTGTGACACTGTGCCCCTGCTGGCCCTGCAGGCAAGCAATGCTTGCGTGCATGTCCCAGCGCGTGCCCGCCACGCGCATGCCAAGGGCGCGCGCGGTTGGCCCCATGCACGTTCAATACCCGCCATCTTTGCCTCAGCGCGCGCGCGCGCAGCTGGCAACACGCTGCTCGCTTTTGCCGATGAGCCGCCGGCCCCCTGACCTGCCTGCAACGACGTCACTCTGACAGGGCGTGGACCTGACCCCCGAGCAGCGCCAGGACGTGGTGGCGACAGAGTCTGAGATCTTCAAGAACAGCGGCCTGGAGGAGGTGCGCTCCATGCTGCAGGGCCCATCTTCATACGAAGTCTGACAAACCTGCGACGGACTTACATTCTGGCGTGTGTGCCTGTGTACTTGAGCGTTTTTCAGTTGCAGGTGCAGACGCTTGCCTCTGTGCGTTTGTGCGAGTGCACGGCAAATCAGGGTGCTGTGCTGGCGTCATACATGCGTGCGTGCCTCTCTGGTGCACGCCTGTTTTTGATCGTCGGTCTCAGCAAGCTTGGTCGTTTCCGCTCGTAGCAGCTGCTGCGCTGTATGCATCGCCGCTGAGGTGATTTGGCCAATCACAAGCTCCAGGCCTGGGCGTCGTCACCACGCACCGACCCCGCCTCTGCCCTGATCCCCAAGCCCTGGCCTGTCAAACGTTTCAACACCACTGCCACCCCCTGCCCCCCTGCAGGCCGAGCCTGTGGCCATTGTGATGCGCATTATCAAGGAGGTGGGCCCAGCAGGCTTGATGACGTCATGAGAACTGTTGATACCCTGCATTCGCTTTTGTCCGCGCATTGGCCAGTAGGCTCGGGGAGCACTGCAAAAAACAGGGTTGCGCGCAGCCGGTCCACCGACCCACCTGCTGGCGGCCTGCTCTTGTTGCCGTGCCCCAGCGTGAAGGGGTACACCGCAATGGGCCAGGGAGTTGCCGGTGCAGTTGCGCACCATCCGCATGCGAGGCACTTGCAATCCCGCCAAAGGGATCGGCCTGGGGCCCCGCATCGCCCAAGAGTCCCGGGAGCCTGCTCACAGCACGTATGTCAGCTGCCACTTTGGGCATCCCACGGGCCCAGCACCCCGCCCAGGCTGCCGGGCGGGACAGGGGTGTCACTGACGACTCTCTCATCGCAGCCCCAAAACGCCAGCAATGCCCCATGTGGCTGATTCTGACACGCGCCACATGCGCGCCCCCACCGCCACCCTCCGACCTGCGCTCCTTTCGGCGCCCCAGGGTCGCGCGCGCGGCATCCCCATGGGCGTGGTCAGCGGCGGGGAGCACGCAGTTGTTGAGAAGGCGCTGGGGGTGTGCGGCATCGGGGACGCGTTCCAGGTGGGCGCGGGCAGGGGGGACGGCACACCCAGCAAGACGCTTGGAGCCTGGGCGCGCGTGTTGTCGTGGACGAGCGCCGAGCTGGCAGGCAGGCAGCCCGTCGGGCCGGTGGGCTGTGGCTCAGCTCGCTCGTTTGCGCGACGGGTGCTTCAGGATTCCACAGCAGGTCTCCGTAAATCGTGTCAGGCTTTGCTCATTGAGTGGAGTGGCTCCCATTCTACCTGTAGCCCAATCTTCACCTCCCTCCGCCCCTCCGCCCCTCCACCCCTTGCACTTGATACGCGCACACACGCTTCACAGGTGGTTGTCAGTGCAAAGGACGTGGAGCATGCGAAGCCGGCCCCCGACATTTACCAGCTCGCGGCAGAGCGCCTGGGAGTGGACCCGCGCGGCTGCGTGGTGAGCGCCCGGCTTGAACAAGTGTGGTAGGGGGCACCGGCGCGCACGGACGACCGCAAACTCGACAAAGACTGCGATGCATGGACGTGTTGTGTGCACTTTGCCGGCCAGGTTTTGTGTGTGTGTGTGTGTGTGTGTGTGTGTGTGTGTGTGTGTGTGTGTGTGTGTGTGTGTGCGTGTGTGTGTGGAGGGGGGGGAAGAGTTTTGCAATCTTGGTTGTTCAGCCCAGAGCGGAGCGGAGAGCTGCGCTGTGTGGCTGCCTTGCTTTGTGGTACGACCCCACAGGGTCTTTGGTGCCAGGCCTCCAGAAGCAAAGGCAATGCAGCCTTGGACGGACGAACCACCACCTGCTCCAAGGTATCGTGCAATAGTGTGTACGAGGAAACTTTCTGCCCCTTCACTATGCATGCACAGGCGTACGAGGACGCGCCCCTGGGGGTCGAGTCGGCGCGCCGCGCCGGGTACTTGGAGGTTGTGGATGTGACGTCACTCGACCAGCATCCAGAGCGGGGCATGAAGGACGGGGGGCGGGGGGAGGGGGCCGGGGAGGGGCTGAGGGGGGAGGTGGAGGACAAGGCGCGGGGCGTCATGTGACGGCGGGG